TGTATAATCACCAATTCTGCATTTTTGTACGAAACGCAGCAAAAAAAATCGATAAAATCGCACATATCAAGTCGTCTCGAAAGTTCTGTCGTTTCATTTTTGAAAACTTGTAATTTTTGGTTCCTCAACAGATTTGCTTCTTTATAATTTCTTTAAAAAAAGAAGTCTTTCTCTTTGTAGAGGTCTCTTGATGGGCTACAACTATACATTCCATGCAGAGATAAAAATGGAAAAAGAAAACCACTTGAGCTCAGATCATTTTAAATTAGTTTGCGAAAAGTCTGGAACGCTGCAGAAAAATCTGAAATTGTCAATATATTTAGATTTATGAACTACCCTTTGCGTCTGAGAAAAAATTGTGCAGTTTGGTAGTTTCAAGGAAAAGTTATGATTTTCGAGAAAAGTGACAAATTAATCAAATTCGGCGTTTCCTATTGTGAACTCGAAAATTATCACTTTTTACAGAAACATCCAAACAGCACAATTTTTTCTCAGACGCAAAGGGTAGTTCATTAAACTTATATACTGACAATTTCAGATTTTTCTGGGCGTTCCAGATCTTTGGCTACCTAACTTAAAATAATCTGAGCTCAAGTGTCTTTTTTCTTCCATTATTATCTCTGAAAAAAATGTACAATTGAAGATCTCCAAAATAATACTGAAAAGAGGAAGAATTTCTCTTTTCAAGGAATGTAGAAAGGCGCAAATTCCTTGAGACAGCAAAAAGTTACAAATCTTCAAAAATGAAACGACAAAACTTCCGGGACAACCTAATATTTTGGTTCAGCCTGGAAAGTAATCGGAAAAAATTGAAAGGGATAGAGAGAGAAGCCACTTCTAATAAAGCAATATCACTATCATTTTTTGAGAAGCCGGTCCAAAAAATTATTGAGATCTGTATTTTCAGGCAACTCTGATAATTATGACCACTGAATGTCATTTCTTATCTTTTGCTCAAATTTTAGCGCTTGAATGAACATCATTTTTGAGAACTTTTCAACCGGCCAGTTCCTTGGATGATTTTCTGGTCTTTTGCGCGAATTTAGCATTCAAGTACAGTATTTTTGAAACATTTGACTGTTTTTGTATAATTTTCCAGTGTTTTGTTCGAATTTATCACTTAAAAAGTCTTCAACAAATAGAGTTTTGTGCTCGATCACTTTCAGTCAGTGGATAATTTGGATGGTGACACGATTTTTCTCTTTCGTTTAAATCCAATTTCACTTTCGCAGGATCACTTTTGAAGGTTTTTGGCTAAAAGGCGGTTTCAGCGAGCTGAAGTTCAGTTGTGCTTTTCAGCAATCCTTCGCCAAGTTCCTAATGAAGTTAATGAAGTTCTCAGGGGGAGGGGCTTAGACTGTCCCTATGCCCCTGAAATCAATTGAAGAATACAAGCATGCGAGCTAATTGAGCTCGGGTTCCTAAGTTCCCGCACCCGTTCTTCGGATACCGATTCCTAGAGCTGGCTTCACTTAGATTTACGGCATACAGCAAATCGCCGATCGCATTTTATTAGTGTAGCCGGAAAATTGGAGAGGTTTGACCGAGGGTCATGCATTAGCACAAAAGCAGAACCAAACAAGCTGTAAACTCTTGGACCAGGTTGGTAGCGTAACAGGTAAGCAAAGGCCTAGCCGCCATATCCGCGGAAGAAAGAAGGGGGGAGGGGGCACTGCGCAGAGAATGTGGTTATGATCCAGAATTATTTGCCAAAGAAAATTGGAGAAAACCGTAACAAAACAAATTCTTATAACTTCGCTCAAGGAAACGTCCGAGAAATATTAGGGCAGTTTTGAAATTTTTTGAAGTCTTCTACTAATAACATACATGGTGTCAAAGAAGATAGTTCCAGGAACCTAATGGCGCAACGATCCTATGGTTTCGGTTTTTCTAAACATTTAGTTGTTGATTGAAATTGGTTTCCGACGTGCAAATGATCATGTCGACCTTATCTATGAAGCGTTTCTTCTATTTAACTGAAGGATTTCTAACCAAATTTGAAGGAAAATCGAGTGTAATAATTTTGATTGGAAACCAACAATTTTCAGCTCCCATGTTACCACAGAATAATCACGCCATGAAACGAGCATTCCATAATTGTCTCACTCATCCCTCAAGATTCCCAAGCAAAATTATGAAGATCTGCTCTCACAGTTTTCTATAATTTCCTTTGCCGAATACTTCTGGATCTGCGGATACATGGGGCAAAGCCTTTGGTTCCTCTTGCGGCCCCCTAACAAGGGTGAGAATATGCTGACTTTATATGAAGTTTCTTTCACCGTGTTTCCCACATAATTTATTTCAGATATAACGTACAACCGTTTTTTCAGTGTTTCTCAAAAAAAAACCTGAAACTTTGAATGATCGTAAAGAGTTGTGAAATGAATTTAGCATGTTTGAAATCCCTGCTACACACAGTCCCATTCTTTTTTTTTTCTGAGAATTTTTTTCAAATAGTCTATGTCGCAACGGCGCTGTATACTGGAAATTCTACCGCGGTTCTACAGTAATGAAAAGCAATCCGTAATTTGATTTTTACTTAAATATAAGCTGAAGCCAACTCTATAAAATAGTTGCTCTAAGAGCGGAGAAAGCCTTTGACAGTGTGCACGATTCTTGTAGCTTTATATATAACCTTAGATTCAACTGGCTTGGCGACTGGAAGGCGGGGCTTTGTGACCTAATTGGACCTGCTCACACCCGCGACGTAGTCTGCGTCTCTGTCGCGCGCGTGTTCTCTGACCATCACATAGCCTTAATTAGGCCACCAAGCTCCGCCTTCCAGCCGCCAAGCCAGTTGAATCAAAGAGTAGAACTCTTTACGATGCAATGAACGTGTGATGATCGACTACAGCAGTCTTATACTAAACTGGTACGCTTTGTATTTTTGCTGTATTTCTGCTATAGTAACGATCTAATTTGTCATAAGAAAAATGTCCAAAATGTTCAATGTTCTTCATGAAAACGCGTGACTACGTCATTTATGCTACTCAGTCCAGTTTTCATGGAGTTGCTACACTGATTTACTGGGTATACTAAATGCTGAATCCCCTTGAAAGCTTGAAATGAGGACGCTAAGGCAGGAATTATTGACGTAGGCTAATTTTCCACATGTGAATTTGGTCTACAAGCCTTGAACTAAAATTCTAATTTCATCCAGTTTCATGAATTCGTTCAATCAAATATGGTTTGATAAGAGAGAATTACGCGCTGTTTCGCAGTGCTCAAAGCAAAAATGCTGGCATGACTCGATGATTTTTTGAATTGAATATCTTTGATTTTGAAAAGTTTGAAGGACCAACAAAATATGACTTGGTTGCTTTTACGACCCACATTCTAACTGGGAACATTCGAGGTCGTTGAATGCATTCACGAATTGTTACGATATTTGTGAATCTTTTTATTCACAATTTTGATTTTGCTCCAATTAGAATCTCACTAGGGAATGGTCAGAAGTCGAAGTGGCCAATCCATACAAGCTGCATACCATTGGATGCAGCATAAAATGCTGATTTCAAATCTGTCTTCCATATCTGCAGAGCACCTTTGTAGGCGAAGTTATGAGCAGCTTTATTGCGAAAAAATCGTGTACAAAAATTGCAAAATTAGACACATTATTGCTCTTTCAGTCCACTTCTAGGTATAGGTCATACGAAGTGACTTAGCTGCATGTTCTGGTCCAACACTGACCCGAGAATGGCTTCGTACGGCCAAGTTTGCACTTTACACGCACTATTTTTTAGCAAAATAATGGCCTTTAACGGCTTATAATTTCGTCCACAAAAGCGCTCTGCATTTAGGGAAGACAGATTTAGAGTCAGCGATTTATGCTGCATCTAATGGTATGCAGCTTGTATGGATTGGCCACTTCGACTTCTGACCATTCCCTTTTCAGTGAAGTAAGACATTTGTTAAAAGTTTGTCTAAATGTTTCGATCGTTTCATCTTCGAACAATCTCTCTACTGGTGGAACTTTTAGCAAACAGCGCCATCATAAACATGCAGCCTCTAAAAATTTCGAAAAAAGTAATCGTTATGCACTAGCATTTTTTGCATGCTGATTTTGCTGATATTTTTTACATATGAGGCTTTCTAAACGCCGTAATCGCTTTTTCGAACAACACTGAGAAGCTTGGTATTAGATGTACTTGGTATAATTCATAAAAGAACATTCGGTTCACAAACTTCATATTTGGTTAGCGCTTCCGGTTAGCCTAGTGTACGTGTTTTTAGGTAGCTTGTTTGCTTAATGAGACTATCCTCCTCTGAAACCGCTCTTCAAATTTTCTACCGTAATCCTACAGTAATGTAGGGGAAACTGTGATTGGCTAACTGTACTAAATTGAAGCCAGCTCCAGTATGGTATTGCAATGGCCACGAAAGCTCTCCGTGCTAGAAAGATGGTAAAGTTCAAACGTTTTTAGGAATACCGTACTTTGCAACGAGCATTTTTAGGAATACATTTTATTTGTGTTCTCTGAAGCAAGAATTATTGACCGACCTCTATATAAGCTTTTCTCTCGAAATAAGACTTTTCGCACATACTTTTGGCCCTTAAAGTTTCTCAGTTCTGTGACTGCCCATGGGCGACCTTCAAATCTTCGATAAGCATTTTAAACAACGCCAGGTTTCTTTCAAGTTGAACTGTGAAGTCATCATATTTGAGATTTACTTTTGCTGCTAGAGTATGCCCAAAAAAATTATCTTGCGCAAAACGGTAGCATCACTCATGCACAATTACGCCATTGTCTGTTTGCTTGATTTTGAACAAGTATGTGTTGACGAACATTTTTTTTCATCATTACCTTTGAAGTATAATGTTGAGAAATTTCACGATTGTAATATCTTGGAAGTCCTTAGTAGCGGAAACTCTTTGTCCCTCGTAATTTCAGGTCATTAGTGCCCTAACGGGCCATGCCGGCACGTCACATGAGGCTAGGTCGAGGTCACACCAGTAGGTCGAATATAAAAGGCTGATTATTGTGGAACTTTCGCGAAAGATGATGTTGAGGTAGGTTGTTGCTGCTATTTCCTTGAAAGATTATGTCTGAAATGTTTATTTTTTCAGGTCAATATTTGCTTTATGCTTCTTAGCCATGGTTATGGCAATGCGAAGGCCATATTCCTATCCTCCTTATTCTTACTCCCAAAATAAGCCTAAGGTAAGATTTTCTTCGTGGAAAAATGATGTCTTATAACGAATTTTTCTTAGCAATCAGCTATGATGCAACAACCAGCTGCTTGCCCGTCTGGGTGGAAACCCTTTCAGGACTCGTGCTATTATTACGAGACCAAAATGATGAATTTTGACAAAGCAGAGGTTAATTGTTTGGAGAAGGACGCACTGCTATTCGTGGCGGAAACAAATGAAGAATATGTGAGTTGCCGTATCCATTCACAAAAACACGCATGAATCAGGGGTTACTGTATTTTTTGATTACTTGAATTATTAGGTGGTCCCAATGTCAAAACCTTATGTAGACAAATCAAAGTGTTTTGTTTCTCTGGCGGACTTAGGGTATCACTTGAAAGAACGAAGCGAGCTCTACAAAATGACCATCAATGATCCGCTTAAGTCGTAATCCAGGTAAAGTTTGGAGCCAAAATCGAAAAAAATTTATCAACTAAAATCTGGACTTTCGCGAGGAAAAACTCTACGATTTCAAATCTGGTCTATACAGTAGACACCTAGTAGTACTCAAATGTGGCTTTACTGGATTTTTTCCACGTTTAGAACATAAACATAAAATTTTACCTTTGTCTGTGCTTACAAGGAAACGATACTTGGTGACACCGGCCATGTGGAATGCGATGTATACCATAAGGTGCATCTCAAAACGCTGATTCTAAATCTGTGCTCGAAATCTGCGAAACGGTCATTTGAAGGCAGTTATGAAATTTTTTCGTAGAAAATTTGCGTACCTTTAGGTAGTTAGAATCACACAACTTGATTTATTTTACCGTTTGAAGCTATTGAGGAGGATCTTGAAAGGTGTAGCGTTGTATTTATACCTATCTAAACAATATTCAGCATTTGAAGAGAAAAGAAAATTTTTTTAGTGATTTTCACCCTCCGCATTAGCGCAATTCATTTTTGAAAAAATAGTCATAACTCCCAGGTTCTCGTTTCGCAGATATGGAGAACAGTAATCGAAACCAGCATTAAAAAGCGCATTGATATACAAACTATTACGAATGGCCGGGTTAACTAAGTATCGTTCCTTGCATAGATAATTGCGAGATATCGAGTCTAACATAAAAAAGGAAAAGTGACATTTTGGGATTTTCCGGCCATCTTTGCTTTACAATTTTGAGCCCCGGAAAACATCCATTGAAAACATTTTTGGGTCTTCCATGTGTTTGCTGTATAATAACCAAGTTAGAGATATACGAATTTTCTGGAAGAAGATAGGATTTTTAGGGTGCCCAAATTTTAATTTTTGGCTCCAAATCTTACCTGGATTATGGATTGAAAAGATGTGGTGGTCACTCTGTAGAGTTTGCTTTATCCTATCAAATGGTACCTTAAGATTGCTAAGAAAACAAAAACAGTCGATTCAAATATTTTGAAAGGGAAATTACTTTCGGGATAACCTAATATACTATTCAAAAGTTTGCATATCTTAATACCAAACTGACGAAATAAAATTATAAAATATATATATAAATATAATTATAAATTATATATATAAAATTTGCACAATAATTGTAAAAGATCCAGTTTTTGATCAACAGAAAAGTGCCGAGTTAATTCTAAGATTCCTGCCATTGGATCACCTTTTCCTTGAGTCATGAGAGTTGCTCTCTCAAGAAAAAAAACTCAAATGTACTTTCTGTACACTAACTGAGCTTTTTGTATAGAAAGTACACGATCAATAAGTTGTACTGTAGTTCGAAATACAAAGCTCCTTTACGAGTGTTTCCGTTATTTGGTTAAGAAAAATCAAATGTATCAGCTAAGAGTTACTATTGTGGGTTTACAGTAGTTCCAAGAACAAACTTTTTTCAATTTCAAAAATTGGTGCAGTTTAAGATCTTGAGAATAATAATGTTTTACCATTTCTGTCCTGCCATCCAAATCTGTATAGATGCATTTGGAAGGTTAATGGAATTTTGTCGGCAAAAAGCGGATTATTCATGGAAATCGAGACGATTTTTCCACGATTTCTTTTCCAGAAAGAAGTGATGAAAAACAGTCCTCAAAATTACTATACTTGGGTTGGCATGAGGCAGTATGAAGGTGAATACCAAGGCAGATGGGCATCAGGAACGGGAATTCCGCAAACTCAACTGTGAGCATTTTCTAAGCTTTTTTCTCAAAAAAAATTATTATTGGCTCCATATTTCAGGGATTGGCTAACCCCCACCTACAATGGCTTCAGCGATGCTGCCAGATGTGTTGCTCATTTTCACACTGAACCAGTAAAATACGCTCTTTACCTCTATTGTGGAATGGATCTCTATTCGATCTGCGAAAAGAATGCAACGCACTTGAGAAACATCTGGGACATGGGAGCTAGGCCTTTCAAAATGTTATAAATCTCCCCTTACGAGAAGCCCATTCATTCATCATTCCAAACACCTCGGATCAGATCTCGCCAAACTCAAAAATGTCTGATTTTGCAAGAATTATCGCTGAAGAATTGTTTTTTTTACTACTGTACGCGCTCGAGGAGCATTGGCCCAAAATCTACGCGTGACTAATCTATTCATCATTGATGCATCATTTGTCATTATCAGTATTTCTCAGAACTATATTGATTATATGTGATAAGTATCTGTTTTGGAAGTTAGTAACAAGTATTTCCCAGCCTTATTGTAATTGAAGAATGATCAGGACATCAGTCTTTGGTGAACTTAATAAACTTTGAGCTTAATTTGGTTGATTATCATCTTGTGGAGGATTACATTGTTCTGTTTTTTATGTTTTTCTTATATATGGCGTAACTAGCGGGTGATAATTAGGAAGATAGGTGTCCGGTAATCAGGATCGAGCAAGAGGTGTGGCACACAAGCGACGGATACTTCCCTTGATATCTTCTGTTTCAATACCCCTTCCCCCCCCCTCCGCACAGCCCTCACCAGCATCACTGGTTGCTTAGGCACGACGTAAAAGCCCTATTATGCATATTCAGTCACATATTCGTAATTCTCATGTCGAATAGCCCCAATGGGCCAAGTTTTAGCAAATTCTGAGAGTTCCCAATACTGGACCACCCAAGTAAAATATTCATTTTCAAGCATGATTATCTCTTATCCAAAAGTAAATTGAGTGAAAGCTAACATTTTTTGTACTCAATACAAAGCGCTACTCCATATTTACTCATACCATGAATTCTGCTTTGAATAACCATCAAAAACGGAATCAGAAGCAGGCCAAAATCTCGTTTGTCCCATTTTCCGCTTTCAATGGCTGTGCTTTCACCAGCTTTTACTCAGATCGAAGAAGATGAATCAAACACAAATTACTCTCATGGAAACTAAAAGACTCAGGTTATCACACTATACATGTAATGTTCTCTAAAATTTTTAGGTAAGTTAATGGGGTGCAGCACAACCCCAGAAAAGCTGGGTTCTGCCACGCCCCGTTAACTTACCTTTGGCCAGGACCTAGACCAAAGCTTCATATCTCGGTCTTTTTTATATGGCTGCTATTCTATTAAGTCGAGTCCACAGGAAGTGTAGAGAATTCGTAATTTTTGTATTAGAAAGTTATTTTTGCATGTAATTTGTGCACTCATGTGTATTTGAGAATTTGTGCTATAATCATTCCATTGTCTTCTCAAGATATATATATGTATACTTTGTAATTCTTGGCGTATTCCTCTTTTCGTTTAACAGTGAAGTTTTCTCAATTGCTCAAAATCTCAGTTCAAATCACCTTTGAGCTTTTGAGGTATGAAGCTTTGAGGATCTCTTCCGTGTTGAAAAGTTCCATATAAGACTAATTCGATCTCGAAAATCAGTAGCCCTTTTTTAACTGCATAAACCTAGTGGGACAACCTGGTAAAAATTATGCTGATCATTTAGCTGTGAAATGCAGTGTCAAGAAAGCCCTAAAAAGGGCGCTTCATCTTTATAGCTTTCAAAAGCATTCTAGGCGAAGTCGTTTGGCAGTAATCCATATTGTTTTCAATATTGTAAAGCATGTTGAAGTCCCCATCTAAGAACTAGACCTAGGAACCAAAAGAAAAGATAATAGGCGACCTGGAATTTTTGTTATTTCCAACGAGATTGTGAAAAAAATTGTGAAGTTCTGACTCAAGGCGCTATGTATTTGCTCAAACAGGTACACCGAAGACCTCATTCCATGACGTAACAGCTCGATTTATGGAATGTTATTTTTATATTTGAGTTTTGCGGAGTACTAAGTCTAGTCCTCGTAGGTAAAAATCAATACCACATGTGATTCAAACATTTATTAGTCTCTACCTCTAATAAGAATAATTATTGTTGAGATCGCGCAAAAAAGCATGGTCACACCCGTAGTTCAGTAAGCAATAGACATAAAACAAACAAATCAGGAATATATACAAAAAATGAGTCTATTGGCAATAGAGTTTAGCAGCTTCCATATTAAGCCGCCGGCATTGGAGCAAGTGCTGAGATTGAGAGATCTGGTTGGAGAGCTTCCAACTCGAAAATTTCTCTTTCATAATGTCGCAAGTTCCTCTTCGCTATGGACTGATTATGTCGAGCTCGTGCGGGATTCGAACGATAGCCCATTTCTGTGTAGATGTTCGAAGAGCATGTGGGAGCGGAGGTTTGCTAGAAAAATAGATTTAAAAAATTCAAATGCAGTGTCTAAGGAACTAGGCTATATGGAAAACTGATTGGAAAGTTTTAGTGCTCAACGGCAGCTCATATGACTGATTTGTGGGTCAACTCCAACTCTCAGTTCTCGCCCAGCCCGTAATTACGCTGGTAGGTCCCAAGGAAGGGGTACGGTAATGGACAAGAATTCAGAGTAGAATTTCTCCACACCGAGTGATTCGCACGAGTTGCCGCTTGGGCAATGGATTAGTTGAGGCTCCCAATCAAAATTACACAAAGAATCCAGGTACCCAAGATTTCTTGCATACTACCTTCAAGTGCATACCTTATAATTTATATTGATATTTGTTCGAAGCAACCTTCCATTAAGTGCTTTGAGAGGTCGATATGCTGGTGTCATATAGGCCGGGTCTGCTTGTTTTGTTTCTGTTTTTTGAAGTTCGTTCCATATTTGGAGCTGCAAGGAAGAAGTCTTCTCAAGCGCTCCTTTAGCCAAAGTAAGTTGCTTACGTCTTCTCTAGTAATGTAGATCGGATTGTTCATAATGACCCAAGTGACAGTCTCATGGCAGCCAGGAATAGTCAGAGATCCCTCATACGTGACATAATGATTTGTTCGAGGTAGTAAACCAGCTGGGTGCAATTGTCGCAAAGTCGTTTTCATACCTAAAGAAAAACAATACTAGTGGACTGATGAACCGTTCAAGAATTAGTTAGTAAAAAGATATGTGACATTATTAGAGTTGTTGATACGATATTATATAAGGTTAGTTTGAATGTGTTTTATTGCGCAGGCTCTTTTCTCTCAAAAAATGTAGTCTTTAAGAATATGTGCGCGACATAGAGTCATTTACATAAATTGATGAAAATGTAACAAAAGCGAAAAGTAATGGAAATATGATAGTGATTTGTTAAAAACGTCCTCTAATTTAAATGTGCGGTCGCTAAAATCTTGAAGATAATTCGTTTTCTAAAAATCGTGAAAACATCGCTGCCCTTCATCTCGTTAAAAAACAAGCTCTAAAAACATGTATCTCGGACGATATGTAATCTATGAAAGGTAGAGCTAGTAGAATCTTAAGAGGATTTTTACGAGCAGCGACTTTATGGTAATTGAAAATGACATTTAGTTTTTGGAATTAGAGAAGGAGATCGTTTCACAATTCTTTGTGGTTTCGGGGTTTCCTGAGACATTCGTCGTAAAAGTCAAGAGTATTTAAGTGTAACAACTGCTATGCAACTGCAAGTGAAAACGAAAATCAAAAGCGATTCTCGTGATTTATATAAACAAAATTGCGAATAGTCTAAAAGCCAAAAGACTGTGTCAGAATTTCAAATTCGCTTACCTTTGTAAGTGATACTTTGTGATGCAACGGTCAATCGTCGCAGAGCCACCTCAGTAATGCTTCCGATCTAAAAATTCATTTCGAAATTCTCGTTTTTCTATCGTTGTATTTTTGACATCAATAATGCAAACTCAATCGTACTTACATCGATAATTACAGAGATAGCCAATAATCCACGAGGCTGAGTAACTGCTTGACTGTAATTTGTGTACAAATCGATATTATAGGCCAGAAGCTGCACCTAAATTACTATCGATTATCGATCCATCAACATTTTGCGCTGATCAGTACCTCTGCAGGGAAGCGCACACGATCTACAGTATGCTCTGAGCCTCGTTCACCATCTGGATGTCCGAAATGCATGGAAATCTGAAAAGTCACAGCCCGTCAGAAAAAAATCTTAAATTTTCGTAGAAATTGATCGAACCTGATGCAATCGATATTTATAAGGTAGAGCAGGCCCTCCTGTAATATTGATTGATGTTTTTGATAGAGTTTCATTTATCGTAATTATTGGCAGTTGTCCAATGTTTTCAAATGTTCCTTCAACCTGGAATGAGATCAAAATAGTAAAACAGCTACCTGCCGTTATGTGCGATTGCACAAACGTGCACTTTGCGCGCGAAACTGGGTATTGCAAACAAGAGGGCGCATCTTTTTTATTTGCCGTTTTTAGCATTTTTTTTTATTCAAACGCTTCAGGTGTAGGTAGTTTCCCGAAAATGTGGGCTGCGTTTAGTGTTACGTGCCAGCACCGTTCCAGCGCTGGTACGGATCCCATATGAGTATTGAGCATCGCATATCGATCGATCGCTCGATACAGCTCCAGCACAATGCTAGAACGGCCTTGGAACGGCCGGAAATGAGCAGCTGGGGACGCCGAAAACAGATTCAACGAGCAGTGTGCGTGTTGTGTGCAATGCACAAGTTACATACTAAGAGGCTCAACTGTAAACGACTTACGTATGCGTCATCAATCGATATTCGACCAAGATGTGGATCAAAAAGGAGCTGTGCTGGATCGATGTTTACAGGACTTTGCATCTGACCAGCCGTACACATTCGCCAGTCTCGATTCACCAGACCCCAGAAATCCGGGCCTACAACACACGGGTAGATGCACGCGGTCATCAACCACGGCAACATCTGAATAGATGCTAGATTTTCAAGTTTATTGATTTCTTCGATTGCGGCAATGAGATCTACGATGAAGATCAATGGCAATGTTATTGAAGGTTTTTGAAAATTTCGCCACAGCTAATTCCTTTCCAATTTTTTCTCATGATTTTCTTTACGTAAAAACTTCCCTTTCCTCTCATTGGAACTATGAACTGGATAGAAAACTGTATTATCTAGCCGAAAGAGGTGATCCCACGCGGATTTAAGAAGCCACGCAGCCATAGGCACCTGCCATACTTGATCCACTTGATTCACTTCAACCGCTTCGCTATTGTTCAATTCAGTGAACTGACCAATGGCGATGTGGAGAAAATGGATCAAGTGGATGTTTGCGTCGCTATTGGTCATCACCTTTTGACTAATGGTGAAGCGAATTAGTAGATCAAGCGGATCAAATGGATGAGCCTATTCACGGCATATTGTCCTTACTCACGAAATTCAACAAAACTTAGCTCCAACTGCCTAACTCTTTTTGAGTGCTCTGTGTATATGTGTTTCAAAGATTTATATTTTTGGAATCCACGAACCTCCCTTTTTCCTTATATGCACGTAGATGTACACATACAACTTTCACAAGTGCACTTGCTGTGTTTTTTTCGCAGCTATAGGCATCATGAGAAAAAACATAACTGAAGTATGACAAGCTCTCTATGTAGTTCCGCTTTTCCCATATAAATCGTATAGTATACTACGAATGCGTAGCTGTATGCCATGAATTGGTTTTCTATTTTTCGGAGAGCTCTGCAACGGGTAAAAAAAAACAGTTTTAGTAATATAACCATGAAAACTGAAGGAAACTATTGCAGCAGAATAGCATTTCGTCGGACTATTTACATACTAAACCAGCTAAGTTCATAGAAACGCAGAAAATGGAAAGTCTCAACTGGTATCGTACAAAGGTTGATGTCGATAACAATGTCAATACATGAAATTTTTGTAAAATGTATGAGGAATTATGGATTCCCAGGGGACTAAAGAGTGTTTTGCAAGTTTTTTAGAGAAAGTCAGCAAGAATTTCCACGGTTGAGTATACTGGCATAGTAAGAGAATCAAATTCTTCAAAACTAAATGCAAGTTCACGCTAAAAATTCGGGTTCATTTATACATGTGTAAGTTTTCAAAGCACGTTAAGCCGGAGTAGGTTCCAATAATGTCTTGAAGATTCACTTCATCATTTTCAATAATCATACTTAGTAATGCATTTTACCATAACTACATATTCGGTAGTCTTAAAAGTAAACGCCGTTTCCTCTGAATAAATCAAGCTGTTTTTGTTTTCCTAGCAGGTTTGGGAAAACCATTCGATGGAGCGAAGCAAGATCCACAAAATGACCACCAAAGATCCATTTAGGTTGTAGTCCAGGTAAAATTTGAAGCTAAAAATTGAAGATTTTCATTCATCCTAAAAGTCGGATGTCCTTCCACAAAATTTCTAAGGACCTCCAACTTGGTCATCATACATAATAGTAACCAAAGACGCAATTGCTGAATTATTCGGTGTCCGAAACTGAGAGATGAATATAGCACAAAGGTGCAAAAAATGTCAATTTCTCGCAAGAGTTTACTACTTGGACTATTTTTTTCTCGATTTCTATGCGAGGAGAAAAATTAGCAAATGCATTTTCGATTACCACTTAGTGTCCACTATATGGTGACCAAGTAAAGATCCATAGAAATTTTCTGGAAGGATATCCGATTTTTGAGATACATAGTTGAAAAACTTCAACTCTTGCTAAATTCTACCTAGATCAAGATCTAGATGGATCTTTGGTGGTCATTTTGTAGAGCTTGTTTCGCTCTATTAATTGACAATACAGGCATGCTAGAAAAGCAAAAACAACCTGATTTTCCTTAGAAAATGCGTTTACTTTTGAGCGAGCCTAATATGTTGAAGTTGGACAAACTTGAAGCAATGCTGGAAAATGCATACTCTTGATAACTTCCACCGAAATCTGAGAAACTGGAGAAAAGTATGGATCTCTGGAAACTCTAGTGCAAGACTGTTCCAATCTGATAATAGCCGATAATGTGAAACGTATTGTGAAAGTCTGAGAGAGGAGCCAAGCGCAAGAACAAAAACTGCAGAATCCAAGCAGAATTGCTGCTACATAGCTACGGTGAAAGTAGAACTATTAGAACAATTTGCAAGGGGCACAGGTCCATCCATGCATGAATTAAGCATGTATCTAAGTCTGCGCATGCCAAAATAAAGTACATGTACGTGTAAAGTGCAAATTGCACACATACGCACATGCTACACGAAGGGGGGGGGGGAGCAAAATTTAAAAATATTGAAGGTTGGGGAGACATAACTCTGGTGTAGAAATGATAAAGGGGGTCGAAAAATTATGTTGAAATTCGAAGGAGATACCCCAAGGCTCAAAATAAAAATTTAAAGGGCGCAAATCAATAAAGGGAGAAAATAATGCTTATTACTGCTATTCTGATGCTATGCAGAATCTTAGCAAGCAGGAACATAGAGCGTGAGACGATTAAGGAGCGCAGATCGTTGCGGCGGTGTCTTGTACTAAAATATTCACGACGTTCCCCTCGGTGAAACTCTCCACAACCAATGCACTGAATACCTCCGTCGCTACGCACTTTTCACACCTCATCCCAAACTTCAAAAAAAATGTTCGGAGCTTGCTGGACAATGGTCATTTAGCACAAGAGAAAAGCCAAATTGAAGTGAACTGACTTGGTTGACGCCGTGGTGACAGATCTAATTATTTTCTAATACGCTCACAGGAGTTTGTGATACGATTGGTAGTAGAAACGAAAGTTGTGTACTTTTGCGTTCGTGCCTACAATTAGCTTTAGTATATGAAAAAAGTAGGTGAGAATTCAATAAAGTTATTTAGGTACATGTGAAAAAATAGTTAAGGCTCGAATTACAAATTAACGTTTTGCCATGAATTCATGCAAAGATCAAAAATACATGACTGAAATATTATGGGACCATCCCTAGGGCACACCCGAGATAGAGTCGCGAAATTCCAGCTAGTAGACTTGAACAATGACTATGCATAGTAACTTATTTATGATAGCAAATAATTAGTGATTTTGTAAATTTTTGCAAGCAACAAACGCTTGGCGATTTGCTTGTAAAAAACAATCAAAATGTTTCGAAAAATTTCATATTCATCTTGACCTTGTGAAATAAAAATAACGATTTGCATTTGATTCTGCCGATTTTTTTTGAATGATTCTACCACTACGAATTCACGAAATTTTGAAAGTGAAAAACGCTCAAAAGCGTGAAAAGTATGACGTCCTCCCTATAAAAAATTTTTAGGCCGATAAAAGTCAGATAGGTATTGCAACATGAACTCGTATTTGACATTATCTGGGGAAATTCTCGTTTCTTAAGTGATATAGACGTCATTCTCAGTCACTTTTGACTTTCTCAGGTTTTTGCAAATTTTCCTCGCATTCTTAGAAAATTCGCATGCATGACGCAAAATGATAGGTAGCAAGGGTTTTTTGTATGAATAAATGTTCGATGACACTTCTCGTCAATTAATGATCAGGATCAGATGAACCTCTCAAAAGATCATTCTACGAAATCGAAGTTGTTTGTATAGAAAAATTTGGAAATGAATTAGCATTGTAATAAAAATTCTTTGTGGAATGGGGAAGATGTGCTGTCAGTACCAGGGTTACAGTTCTGCGAAGTAGTCGGTAAGTATCTTACAATTAGATTCTTACTGAAGGGGGGGGGGACATGATTGAAAAAGCACTTGTTTCCCTCTTGTCAGAAATACAATTTCAAAATATCACTTTAGAATAAAATAAAATTACAGTTGCGATTTGCTGAACCGCCACACTAGTAGAAATAAATCATTTCAATCTTACGATTAGAAGATTTTTTGGCACAAGATGTTCCATTCGTTCATTATCAATTTTTCGGGATCTTTCCTGACACTTCATTTTATTGAATTTCCATCGAACAACGAAGCAGATCCATGAATGAATGACTAAGAATGAGTAGTTGGATGATTGAAGCAGATTCAAACAGTCTGATTTCACAACATTGATTTTTTAATTTTCAATCTAGGAATCAAGATCGAAAATTTTCAAATACGACACTGAATGGATTGGAGCAGATATGATGAAGTGAGCGCACAGCGAAGGTAGAGAATATAAATAGCACGAAATGCAGGCAATCCCGTTATGCTCCCTCCCATCCACATAACAACTCTATCCTGACTCTGATTACCATACTTAAGCCTAGCATAGTCACTGAGATTCATGGACAGCCTTTGAGAACGGCATAATGCTGGCTATAAAGTATGAGGCACATAAAGTTGGTTGCAGAAGTAAAAACTATCTGCTTTGCATGAACTAAAATGGGTGATGGATGAAGGATTGACATTAGGAGAAAGCGGGGGTGTAGCATCAAATTTTTACTTTCTAATCAAAAACACCATTCCCTATTACTACGCCTGAGCTCACAAAAAACCAATAGGATGGAGAACTTGGGATTTTCTGTTAGATTGCCTTTTGACGATATCTTAAAATGACAATGTCGCAACAAAAAAATCTGTTACAATCCGCTTTCCTCTAAAAGTGGTGACATTAATTTCGAACCGACAAACTTGTGCATGAACTTTGGCAAATTATAAACTCTAGACATTTGGAATTCGATCTTAAGCGGATTTACATACAGAACTCATATCACATTACTTTGCTAAATTGGCCGAAAAGCTTTACGCCCATATGAATGATTTAGTTTTGTAAAGGTGTAAACTAGCTTATGATTTCACTTCGGCGAGGCATAATCGGATCCGCATGAGCAATAATCTCTCAATTTTCGCTGCTATACACTCAAACATTAGAGATTCATTATTACATAGCGGTTAAAACAGTACAGTTATCAAAAACAAATAAACAAGTTTTGAAAATAAGCCACTTCTTTTGTTTCCAAACAGGTTTTCCACATAGCAGTTTTCCTTTCTTAAGAAGAA